TGACTGATAAATCTTCAGCACAAATAGCTAAAGCGATTCAAAAAATTTATAATGATCCTAATGAACCAATTTCTTGGCCCAGTTGTTTTATTTCGGATAGGGGAATGGAATATATAGAGATTATAAGAGTTTATTACTTAGTCATAATGTAAAAATACAATATGCTAATTCTAAAGAAAACAATGCTATAGCTGAATGTGACCACCAAGAGTTTGAAAAACATGCCTATATCCAGCAAGATGCAAAGGATTTTTTACTTCCTTTATCTGAAAGATCTAGAGATTGGGTTAGAAGTCTTCATATTAATGATGATATCTTTAATAATACTCCAACCCGATTGATAGGTATGTCTTCTAATGAAGCTGTGGAAAAAGCATTAAAAGAGAAGAAGATAATTGCAAAACCAGCTATAAAACATAGAAGACCTATTGGATATGATGAACCTTGTTTATCCTATTATGACGTAGTGAGATATCTTCTTAAGCCTGGTGAACTAGAACATGGTTCTGCTAAAAAAAGAATTACTGATATGAATTGAAGTCCTGAAATTTTTAATATTCGAAGAATTCTTGTACAAAAAAATCAAACCGTTTTATATTGGTTAGAAGATGGTCCAGAACGTTCATTTGTAAGAGAGAAATTGATGCTAATTATGCATTGCGATTTGCCCCAAAATGGGTACTTAATTAATATTCACCTTCGTCTGCTATTAGCTCTTCTATTGTTTTACTAATTTCTTCTTCTGTCATAGGACGCTCTTCTTTAGATAAAGTATAGTAAAGGCTGTATAAATTTTTAATACTAGCAAGGAGTTCTTTCTTACCTTGATACCATTTTCGATATCTACTCATTCTTCTTTCATAGGTATCCTCATTTGGAAATAACATAATAGCAGTTGATTTTACATATTCATCAGGATTATTCTCTTGACGCAAATTTTTTACATATGTGATATATTCACTAACTAGCTTGCTATCTTTTTTGTAGCGAATACGTATTGCCTCTCTTATTATCTTAAGTTGCGCCTCCTCAATGCTTTTCCATATAATATTACTCGTTGGGGTATTTTCTGTTATTGTATGTTAACACTAAGTCTTTGCTGTATAATAAAATGGTTAGTTTAAATTATAAATAAAAAAATCTAGAAAAAAAATATTATAATATTATATGAAATAGTCGAGCTCATCTTTTAT